GCAGCATAGACTTTGACCCGATCTTTGTAATTTTCACTGTAACTATTCTGTTGATAATAGGTGCAAGTATTGCAAATGTTCCCAGCTGCATAAATGGAGGAGTTATAACGAAAAATCTTTTATCTGAACAGTCAGTTGTATGGGAGCTGTATGTTATAGTGGTCCGATTCTTGCTTTTCTGACAAATGATAAATACAATATCAAAATAGACCCGCTTACCAAATTTTAGGACAGACGGATATGGCTAAATCAACTCAGCTCGACGTTCTCATCATATGCGTATACATTTTAATGGATCTACCTCTTTTTATTCTGATACTTACAAACGTCGGACCAAAGTTATAATATTATTTCATGCTCATTAAAGATATAAAAATGAGGAAAACTAACGAAATATTACCTGCTCTATTGCCTCGCGAACTCCTAAGTAAAAAAAAAAAATGTCTTCAGCTGAGCTCACTTCTTTTTTGGAATTTCCTTTTATCTACATACAATAGAGCTCATGACCTAAAAACCCATAATATTTCAGATCGATTAATTTTTTTTGTGAGCTATTCAAGATACCAATAAAAACCGATTACTCAACATACTTCAGATGACTTGAAATTTTGATAGAATTTTATCTACAATATATATTCTTATGGGCAGGAAACCTTGAATTTATTACTATAAATAAAGTTCTATCAAAATTTCAAGTCATCTGAAGTATGTTGAGTAATCGGTTATGCAAGCTAACTGACTTTCAGAGATAATGAGCTTAATACATAAATTGCTCCGTTATAAGACCTTCAAGGCAAAGAAAATGCCAAGACGTGCACTCTGGTGGATGAGCAAAAAAGAACAGTCCAAACAGCCAAAGGAACGTTAGACATGCAGACCATTTTTTTTTTTTTATTGCGAAAAGGGCAAGCATGAATTCTTTAATTCCCATCTTGCACAGGTAAGTATGCATCATTCAAGAACTTTGTGCAACCGAGAATGGGAATATGAGTTTTTTTGTCCCTCGTGCCTAGGTAAGATGAAAAACACGAAGCGCATACTATTTCAATACGAGATAATGTGTAATTCTTTAGGAGACTGAAAGGTGGTGGGCGGGATAGCTTTCAGAATGGGTAATGATCATCGAGAACGAGAGCGCAACTTGACGAGCGAGTTACTTAGTTGTTAAACTTAAAACCTGCTTCTTATAAACAATTTTGTTTCTCTTTCAAGGCACAAATCCTTTTAAAATAGCCAGGAGATTATTCGGTAGTCTTCTGTGTTCTCCCCGAGCACACTCAAATTTAAGCTCATCCGCAAGCGCGTTATGTTCAGACGGGTTCACCGGCCTTATTATTTACAGCACAATTCAGTTATTGCTTCAGATTCAAAGTTTCAGGCAACCTTCAATACTGCCTGCAAGTTGGTAGTTTCATATTCTTCCACGTCTATCCTCTTCTAGTGACGTCACCGTTATGCTGCAACGCTTGTAAATAAGCTTACTGCTTAAACGGCTAACCTTCATTAAATACTAAACCTCCATTCATCCAAAAGCTGGACTGGGTGGCAACAGTTGCCAGTTATTTGCTGTCCGCGACCTAAAAATCTCATAAAACGCACATGGAACCACACATCAAAGGATTAAAAAGCGCGCCAATAGCAATAAAATGAGCACAAGAAAGTCGGTCGGTAGTCAGCCTGAGCGTTGAGCTGACTCAACGGCAAGAATATAATCGTTGCTCCCTACTGTAACTATAACGGCAACAGTCATAAAAAGTCAAATGCAGTAAAAATCACATTTTCAAGCAATGCGCGAGAAAAAATTATTAAAATAAGCAAATAGGCGGAATGAAGATAATCTGGCATTACTATGGCAAAAGCGCAGCAAAGTTATGAGCCAAAAAAGCAGAAGAAAAATTGCAGAGCAAAAAAGTGTGCCGAAAGTCAGGCAGATATCTTCGATGGTGGAGGAGGTAGCGCAGATGTCCGCAAAGTAGAGCAATGACGCAATGTGGCAGTCTAACAGAATTCAAGTGACAGATGCGTAGTGGCAGATACCGTTACAGGGAGGTGAGCGAAAAAGTACGCAGTTAAAAATACACTTGCATGCAAAAGTTTCTGTAATAAGTAGTAAAGCATTTATAAGCATACACAAAGTTCTATTTATGCGCTACAAATATACATACATACATACATACACACATACATACTTATACAAAATAAAGCAAGTAAATTTAAAGGAGTAATAATGCATACACACATAGATGCACACTTTAATGCAGTTAGCAGTTTAGATGAACAAATAGCAAAAGCTTACCGGAGAATAGTTTTACAAGGAATTTATTAGTAACTACTCTGCAAAAAAAAAAAATGGAAAGGAACATTGCAAAAGGTAGTGACAGAGAGAAAGATAAAATGTAGAAAGAGCGAAAANCACATACATACTTATACAAAATAAAGCAAGTAAATTTAAAGGAGTAATAATGCATACACACATAGATGCACACTTTAATGCAGTTAGCAGCTTGGATGAGCAAATAGCAAAAGCTTACCGGAGAATAGTTTTACAAGGAATTTATTAGTAACTACTCTGCAAAAAATATTAAATTGTAAAGGAACGTTGCAAAAGGTAGTGACAGAGAGAAAGATAAAATGTAGAAAGAGCGAAAAGGGATGCAAGCAAATAAAATTGAACTTAAAAAAGGAAGGCAGATGCAGAGCTTTATAAAGTAGGGCATAAATGGTGAATAGAAGCCGAGAGTTTGTTTGGTTAGAAAGGCTTTTTATTAAAAAACATACATATTATATAGAAACATAATAATTATATAACACCGTGCGAAACAATTTTACACACACAAACAAAGATCAACACACTCGCGAAACAAGCTGATCCGCATAGTAAAATTGAGTTTTTAGTTTTTTTTTCTCTGACGTCAGAATACTTTTTTTTTTAAGAAATTTAGAGTTTCAAAGATGTGATTCATTAAAAAAATTATAAAAAAACTTAGTGCATTGTAGAATAACAGTACGGGGGAATTGCAAAAGAAAAATAAATAAACACTATTTCACAAGGACGAATAGGTATTAAAAATGTCTTTTTGAAATTTTATTCTGAATTTTCTTAAAAATTTGTAATAATAATTTTTGAAAAAAACTACATATTAAAGACTAACAGGTAAACGAGCATTCGTTCTTTTAATTTTATTAGCTAAAAAAAATTAAAAAATATTTAAAAGGCTATTCGTTCTTGTTTACCCAAAAATATTTTTTTTTTATTCTACAGAGTTTTCTCTTTGATTTTGTTCCCATATTGTTTTTCTATATTTTTAATATTTTTTTTTTATTAATCATGTCCTTGAAATTTTAAAGTCCTTTTTAAAAAAAGTGTGACATCACAGAGAAAAACTAGAAATGCAGTTTTACTATATTTGGCCCCTAGTTTCGAATGTGTGTACATATCTGTGGCTATACGGGATAGCAGCTTAATGCGGGAGGCTGGCTTTAGTATAAAGCGTCGCTGCGTTTATTCTTTGAACCACAAACAAATTTTTTTTATGACCATAGATGAGGATATTGACTTGCCAGCATCAACACTATTCCTTTTACGTTTATTTTCCAAGAGTTCTTTAATGACTTGACCCCAATGGGTTATTTGCACATTATACAAAGGCCGGCCTCCCGACTTAAGTTACTATTCCATATGACCACAGAAATGTCTATTGATTTTTTCGCGTGTTGTGAAATTTTTCGGTTTTTGTCGCACGGTGTAATAAATTTTAAATAAAGACAAGGAAATAAATAAATAATTATTTATGCAAAGGCTTTTGGCAACGATTCTTTATGACCTTCACGCAGCGTACAATGTCAAAATCAAAGTAAATAGGAAACCGGTATTTGAATAATATTATTCTCTATTCATGATTTTTAATCAAAGAGATCCTGCCTCACAGAGTTTTAAAAAGTTTTGTTCTGTTTGGTACTGAAATATATATATATATTTTTTTTGTAGAAAATACAGCTGTTACTAGCGCGAACAGGCTGGGATCTTCAGGGTTACCACTTGAAAAAAAAGCCATTAGGACACATAGCCATTCCAAATGGATTCGCATTTGACTTAAACGCGCTACCCAACCATAAACACAGCAGCACAAAATATCCAAAGAATGGTGTAGGAATAGGAATTTATATTGAAAAGTTAAAATGAAAAATTTTTCCGATCTATATTCATCCGTCATTTTTTTCGATCTATTATAACCGTTGATAGAAATAAAATTTTAAATCATAAAAGATTTGAAACGGCAAGGTTAAAAATGATCGAAAAAAATATAAAAATCCAAAATAAAGATTATTTCTGATCGAGAAAAATAACAATCAAAATATTACCTTTTTGCGTTGTTCTAAATACTAAAATCTTAGCATTCAACGGTTATTTTCGGTTCTGCATAAAATACCTTCAATCACTCTCCTTTTACTCGATAAGGTCACAACCAGTGAGAAAGTCTTGGCCTCCGTTGTGATTAGTCCCTGCGTCCCTGAGCGTAGGGACAAATACGGGTGTCACACGTATTGCACATGAGAGCTACAATTAGGAAAATCAGCTGTAGAATTACTGACATGTACAACTCAAACACTAAGCTGAGGTGAAGCACACATCTGTAAAACCTAAGACTCACATTAAGCTAGTGCTTTGTAGAGAATAACTAAAGAAGGTCTGTAAAATACACTGGTTTGTGAGTGTGTATGCTGCAAGGATTGGCATACTTTGAAGCAGAATCTACCCTAAAAGTTCAGATTGGAAAGAGTAAGACTTAGGACGGTTGATCAAACATTCCTCACTGAACTGACTCAATGGCATTTATGTATATATTCTGTGGCACTACTCTGTATTTTATCCAAAGACCCTGCGTGAAGACCACAGCTGCGATGTCTTTTAAAACATTCAATGTTTAACAACAAAAGCCCGCAGCAATTACAAATAAGCCAAGCAGTACATAGTAAATACATCAATAATTTCTACATACCTTCGTCATCTGATGAGTAACTATTGTAGCCAGCTGGGCCCAGGTTCGCATGCACCTCTGAGCGACTGCGTTGAATGCCACCTACTCCGCCGACCAAGCTACCACCCACTAAGCTACCGCCACCAACAGTCGCCGAGACGCCACCGCCACTGCCACCAACAGCGCCAGCTGCCGCAACACCACCACCCGCATTACCGCTGCTGTTGCCGCCGCCGCTTGCATTGGAGGCGGCATAATGCGCGCCGCTCGCCACCGTCGTCGAGGCGAGCAGTATATTCGGATTGCTGCCGAGCTTCGACATGGCGGACATATTATTGCCCCCTTGCTGCATGCCCTTGCGCGTCAACGGTGACTGCAACATGCGCTGCTTCCACTCTAGCAAGCGTTTCATTGACTCTTCACGCTTGCGCTCACCGTCCTGTGCTGTTGGCTGATGTTGTTGTTGTTGTTGTGTATGTTGTGACTGCGTTTGCTGTTGCAATGCTTGCATCTGCTGCTGCTGCTGGGGCGATAAAGTAGCCGCCGCGCTGTTGTAGTCATCATCGAAACCGCCGCTGCGCTTGGGCAGGCGTGCACTTGCCGAGCGCAAGAATTGCTCGCTTTGCTGGATGATCTGCTGCGTCGACATGGTTGGCGTATAGACAGGCTTTTGCGGCGGAGGTGGCTGCTGCTTCTGCTGGGACTGTGGCGAGAGCAACGCCTGCGATTGCGGATGCATTGATTGCGATCGCAGATGCGCCAAGCCGCTTGTATTCATAGTGGTCGTTGTATTGCTGCGGCTCATGCGCGGCATGCTGGCGGCACCTTGGCCGTCGTGTAACTGCTCGCCGCGCTTAAAGGCGCGTTCGTAGGGATTTTCATAGCCGATTGTATGCATACCGCTGCCCGCGCCGCTAAGGAAATCGTTGGCGGTGCGATATCCGCCAGCTTGCTGCGGCTGTGCACTCGCTGCGTTGCCACCAGACTGTGGATGCTGCAAATAGAGCGCACTTTTGCGCATTTTCTCCGCGTAGCTCGCCTCCGAGTAGTAGAAGCTATCTGGTGTGCGATTGATATCCAACGATGATTTTGGGCGTGGCGCGCGCAATGCATCCGGTTTTATAGCGCCTGTTTGATTACCAGAGCCTAAGGCTGCAGCTGCTGCTGCTGCTGCTGATTCGGCGCGCGCTTCGTATTCCAAAAAGTCTGCTGAATGGGGACGCGCTATAGCGGCGGTAGGACGTGTGCGTAAATTGCTGTTGCTAGCGGTGAGTTGTTGTTGTGCGGATGCCGACTATAAAATATACAAAAAAATAAAAAAATATATGTATATATATATTTATAAGTTTATTTTGTTTCACTTTATCTTTCAAACATCTGGTTTTTCAAAAGTGTAGTCTACTGACATTTTTGGAGTCTATTATTTTCCATTTCTATTCTGGTGATAACGATATTCATAAAATCGATACCAGTAATATCGAAAAAAACATCTGGGGATTTTATACGATCTCAGCTCTTTTCGTAATCATAACGAAAACTGGTTTCTTATTTATGACCCTTGCGCATTAAGCACTTTTGTTTTTTTCTTTTCAATTTGGACACGTCAATCTCTGCTAAAACGCCAAAGCAACAATGCTTTTAAGTGGTCATGCAACTCTACAATTTCAGATTTGTTTTGTTGTGCACTGACCTATATTTATACATACATACATATGAATGAAAATGCACAGGGCGCTCCATACAGTGCGTTCTTTTTAACAATGAAAAAACTTAACAAAAATTCTGTTTTTCGAAAGAGCAAACATCCCCATTATTTATCGAACACGATTTCATTCATGTGGTTCCCTTGGCTGGTTTCGCAGTAGCGCATTTAAGCGGTTGTGGCTCTGTCTTACAAATGGCTTACTCGACATTCACCTTAAGGTCGTGAATCGTTAATGGATAGTTCGCATAACATCGGCCCTTCATAGCATCCCACAAAAAAATCTAACGGCGTCGAATCGCCGGGGTGGCCAATGGATATCGCCGAGACGACTGACGGCACGATTATCGAACCCAGAAGATCGATTGTAGCATGGCCTGTGTGACATGGCGAGACATCCTGGTAAATCCAAAGGTTGTTCCAGTCCATATCCCAAATTTTCAGCCACAAAAAATCGTTTATCATGCCTCACTGCTGCCCTTTTTAGCAGCAGTTGCAAAGTAAAATGAGTCATCCATCCAAATATGAACCTAAATGTCGCTGTCTGAGGATGCATTGGCTTCTCGAAGATCTTGTGCGGATTTTCAAATCCTCAAATGCGGCAATGTTATTTGTTAACATCGCCTCAGCGCGCTTAGTGAAAAAGCATCATTTTTCGAGTAAGATTTCTAGCGGGAAATGGCTTGTCAAAATTACATTTGATTTAAAAAACCTTTATATGGACCGCCCTTTATTCAAGTGAAACTTCTGAATAACGACGACAAAAGTTCACAAGCCTCACATTTACGTATACATCTCAAAAGCATATATCTATGTAGCCAGGTATGTAAATATATGTACATATATTATGTGTAGTCATAGGCAATGGATGTGCAAGTGACCAGGACGAATGTATGTATGTATTGTAGTAAATTCATATCCACACTTTTCGTCTATCTCTTATGTCAGGCATTCGAAGGTTTATGCATTTTGAACTGAGTTTGGCTACGGGGTTATTCAACTGTTGAAAAGGTGAAGCGAAGAGAAATTTTTGGTATTGGCAAAGTTTAAAATAAATATGTATGTACATACACACGCTGTATTGGATTGATATTTGGGTTCTTTTCCACAATTTACAGCGCTGTGGAAATCTGGTCAAAGTGAATTTACAATATCTAAAGCCATGCTATTAAGATCTAATAATCGACCATAAGGTTTCATACGCAATACCGGTGTCACCAATCAAAAGCGTTGAGCATTACTCCCTCCATATTTCGAGTGTGCTTCGGACATCTATTAGTTATGTTTGTTTACAAATTATCCGGTTACTTACCAGCAACTCTCCAGTAACTTTATTTCTAAGAATTCGCTCTCATAGAAAACATTTTCAAAAAAGTACGCAAACGCTATTCCAGTACTAATTTGTAAGTTTCATGAACAACTGATTNCTAATAATCGACCATAAGGTTTCATACGCAATACCGGTGTCACCAATCAAAAGCGTTGAGCATTACTCCCTCCATATTTCGAGTGTGCTTCGGACATCTATTAGTTATGTTTGTTTACAAATTATCCGGTTACTTACCAGCAACTCTCCAGTAACTTTATTTCTAAGAATTCGCTCTCATAGAAAACATTTTCAAAAAAGTACGCAAACGCTATTCCAGTACTAATTTGTAAGTTTCATGAACAACTGATTAATTGGTGGTTTATTCGCAGCAAATTCCTAATAAAACAATATATTTTATATTTAAATAGGTTTATTTTGTGAAATTCAACAATGAAAACCCACAAACAGTTTACATATTAGTTTAAATCTCATCCAGCAACATGCGATCAGCTGTTTTTCGTACTGGCAAATTCTTAAAAGTAAAATCCAGTAAAAACTTGCAACTTCAACTGTCATTTTTCGCTCTCTGAATTTCCCCTACTTTGCAAGTTTTTGCGTACAAAAAACGCCAAAACATGAAAATTCGTAAAAATTTTACTGGATTTTACTGGAAGTGAGTAAACGAACGCAACTATTGTCAGATTTCCATGCTTCTCTTTGTAAGAATTGGCGCTGGTATTGAAATCACTTGTTTGCTATCTTACTATTTCAGAACATCTTGCGAGCCTTCAAGCGTTAATATGTTTGAGATATATCGGGCGGTATTTTGGCAAAAATATGACAAATGTTGAATTTCAAGTTATATAGATTAATTTGCATAAATAGCCCCATTAAAAGTACAACGGAGCCAAGCCACATAATCTCGGTGGTGTCCATAAAAAAATAATTTTTCACTTAAATTGCTTTCGTGAAACTGGCTATTTGTCCAAAGTTTTATTCATCTTGGCTGAGCTTACCAGCAAGTGAATAGCCAAATCACAATATCACTGAAAACGTTACTGTTAAATCTGAGGAATGTCAAGCGAAGCAAATCAAAGTCAATTTCAGTAGTACTGAGAAAGATCACATCCACCACGTTATTGAAAAATATTCATCGTGCGCACAACTTGTGCGAGTCATCGCCTACTGCCACCGGTTCATCTTCAATTGCCGCCATTCACGACATGAGCGCCGTTTTAACGCATTGACAGTGAATGAGTTAGACAATAGCCTATCGAGCATCCTGCGGATAATTCAGCAAAGTGCTTTCCCTCGCGAATGGGATGTACTTTCAGCCAATAAGGCTTTGCAAGAAAAAAGTACCATCGCCCCGCTTAATCCATTATTTGATCAACAGGAAAGGGTAACTCGACTAGGTGGGCGATTGCGCGAATCACGTCTACCTATTGCAGAGAAGTACCCATATATCCTACCACAAAAACATCATTTTTCTAATTTAATTATAATAGCATCACACTTGCGCACTCTGCACGGTGGAGTTGCAGCCACATTGCATTACATTCGTAAACGCTTCTGGATCTTAAATGCTCGTAATGCAGTTCGAACGGCCATCCATCGCTGTATTATCTGTTATCGCTACAATCCAAAACCTGCACAACAACTTATGGGAAATCTGCCAGCTCCACGAGTTTGTCCATCTAGGCCGTTTTCTTCAACTGGAGTGGATTATGCCGGCCCAATGCACATATTGCCATCACGGGGTAGAGGCCGAACATCAGTATAGGGATATGTAGCGCTTTTANTATGTAGCGCTTTTCATTTGTCTCGTCACTAAGGCGATACATTTAGAACCAGTTGGAGATGTTTCTGCAGAATCATTCATCGGGGCCCTTAAACGGTTTATTGGTCGCAGAGGAGTTTGCAAACATATTTTTAGCCAATCGAAAACTCCAAGCTGATCGGCACGCATACGAAAAATATGTACAGACACAGATCGCACCCTTTCTTCTTGAACAACATATACAGTGGCATTTTATGCCTCCATCGGCGCCTCATTTTGGAGGTCTTTGGAAGGCAGGAGTAAAATCGATGAAATACCATTTGAAGCGCTCGATTGGTGAACAAAGGTTGACGTATGAAGAATTGAGCACTGTTTTGGCTCAGATTGAATCCTGCCTCAATTCCAGGCCGCTGTGCCCGATGTCGAATGATCTTGACGACTAAACAGTGCTTACTCCAGGTCATTTTTTAACCGGCGATGCGTTATTAGCTCCTCCGGTCATGGAAATTGAAAAAATTAGTCTCCTCGATCGGTGGAAGAACTGCCAGTATTTAACACAGCAGTTCTGGCATCAGTGGCGTAAGGAGTACCTGTCGCGATTACAAAAACGCCCAACAAAGAATAATCTACAAATAAATGACATAAGTGTTGGTAAAAGACGAACGAGTTCCGAGCAATGTGTGGCCACTCGGACGCATATTACATACATATCAAGGAGATGATCACCTAGTACGAGTCGTGGAACTGAAAAGNTCGTGGAACTAAAAACGCAAAATGGGATACTAAAGCGCCCAATAACTAAGTTATGTCCACTGCCTATCGCAGACAATTGGCACGATTCAAACCAACAACCCATTTCTTAATATCATTTGTATAACTATTTGCTCTCATTTCAGTCTCAGCCCAGTCGAGATTCAACTTATGATAGTGCAGTATCCAAGCATATCATCGGCGGGGAGGAATGTTGAAACTCCTTCTAAACAACACTACCTTCAACACGACTGCCATGTAACACTACCTTTAACACGCCTACCATGTAGCACCACCTTTAACACCCACATTGTCAACGAATGGCAGGTTATAAGACNGCTGTGCCCGATGTCGAATGATCCTGACGACTTAACAGTGCTTACTCCAGGTCATTTTTTAACCGGCGATGCGTTATTAGTCATCGGTCATCGAAATTGAAAAAATTAGTGNATTGAATCCTGCCTCAATTCCAGGCCGCTGTGCCCGATGTCGAATGATCTTGACGACTTAACAGTGCTTACTCCAGGTCATTTTTTAACCGGCGATGCGTTATTAGCTCCTCCGGTCATGGAAATTGAAAAACTTAGTCTCCTCGATCGGTGGAAGAACTGCCAGTATTTAACACAGCAGTTCTGGCATCAGTGGCGTAAGGAGTACCTGTCGCGATTACAAAAACGCCCAACAAAGAATAATCTACAAATAAATGACATANTTTATTTTGTAAGATTTGAAGTTTTGTAATAAAACATAGCA